ATGAAAAAGAGAAGGGGGCAAAGGAGAAAAGGAAATGGAGTTTAATAGGAAGTTCATTTTGTGTATTGTGATTTGTCTTTATTGTTATGTGTTGATTACAGCCTAATCCAAGTTGGCAACTTGGAGAGTGATCAAATGAAGCTGCAATAGTATTTTTGCTGTAATAGCAAATGTTTTGTGTTGTGGCAATTATTTAGAAGTGTTCGTTTAAGGTTGTAATAACTATGTTTTGTTGTCATTGTGGTATGGAACTTCATTTTAGTATATGTTATGTGGAAGTTAATTGTGTATGAATTGCTCACTTGCTATGATCGATTCCCAGATTCTTTCAACTACTATATATAAGTCACATTGAGGTTTTGTATAAATGGCAGGACACCGCTGAATTTCATAGAAATATAGCTGCAATATTCCATAAATATCACCAAAATCAGTCAACAAAATATCAAATATACTAAGGCAGCATTTGAAAACTAATACATTATCGTTCTAAAAGGATAAAAACTACAAATTGCAGTCAACAAAAATAACCAAATGTCTGGCTTAGGATAAACAATATTTGCTTATAATCAACCAAAAACATCAAGTAATTGTTTGCTTGTAGATTGCAGTCAACAAAAATAACCAAATCTATTGGGGATGTGTAAAACTACTATTCTGGCTTAGATTGTTTGAACTACCAGTTTTTGTTTGAATTCTATGTTACCCTCTAATCTCTTGAAGCCTTCTTGTTATGATTGCTGGTTTTCCCTTCCATTTCAGTCCACTACTTGGTTTGAAACCAATGTCACTAGTTACATCAGCTGATCTTGTTATCATTGTTGGTCCAGTGGACTCTATTCTAGTACTTGTCGTGGATACTATTCTATACCTTACACCAAGTCTCTTTGTTATAGTACAAAAGATCATCAACTATGTTCTTACCAAGTATACTGAGTGCTTGTAGGTTTTTCTTGAATTCAGCCTTATATGTACTTCTAGCACACTTCCAAAACAACATCCTCCTCTGAATCTCTCTCCAATTCTTTGACCAATTTGCAAGGATGTGGCTGGCACACATCCTGTGCTCACAAGCTGGTATAATGTTGCGACCAAACACACTCACGCAAGTATACGTGGTCGTTAAGTAATAGAGTAGTGAATAACGTATCGTTCCCACGAAGACTTATGATTAACTTTTAACTAATTCAAACTCAAATAGCTTATCGATTCAAGCGATTTCTTATAAAATAGATAATTGTCTAATTTACTACCTAAAAACTATCAATTAATGAAATACTAGAAATCAACACAACACTTAAATAGTTTTAAATAACAATCAATGGGAGATAATATTCCAGGGTCACGGGTTAACTAACAATCATGTTGCATTCTTAGCTTAAAATAACTAATTGATTTATCTGGATTGTTG